ACCCTTGCTACCGTGTTCATACTGTTGATAAAAATTTTCAACGCTTCCAATTTTTTGTCGCAGGACTTATTTGCCAACCTAATAATTAGTTGATCACTACTTTTCTAACAATTAGGTACTTTTGCACCTCACTATGTTCCTACATTATAGCTCTCGGCAACTATCGTAGGGGTATGACCTCTTCTCTGTCATTAACCTTTCGACTTTGACTACCATCTGATAAGCCATGAGATCTTATTAGGTTTCTTGATTCTTCAACTCAACCCATTTTGTGGTTTTTTGGCCAACTTCCAGCCGTTCAGTGGTCTCGAAAAAGTATTGCGCGACTCTTAAGTCATACAAAAACATATAAGAGCACACTACTTCTACCGTAAATGACTACTCTACACTTTACCACTTCATCTCCTCTTTCTTCAGCGCATCATTACGTCTTTGAACAAAGTAGCAGATTCCCGAGATCAGCTGTGCCAGCTACCACAATGCACACCTGGCCTGCTTTGAACATTCGAATTCTCTTCTATCGTTGGTCTTCAAATTTTTCGCATCTTACGACAGCCTTAACATAATACTGAACTTTTCGTCAAATCTACGGCTATCCCTTCACCCATTCCACCTAATACGAGCGTTCAGCTTTTATGGCTCTCGCAGCCTCATACACTTTTTCCACGTGTTGGCCTTGCTGAGTTATAATTATAAACTCTTGTGGTGCGTATCTTTTATGTATGAGCCTGTCATAGGAAAAGCTTCGCTAGTCTAGGCATGCTCGGCATTTTCATTTTTTTTTCTAGCCTTTAAGCTGTCATGAATTGAAGTATGAATTAGTTTAGCAAGTGTAACAAGTAAGAGCTATTCTAAAAGGGTCGCCTTCCACTCACTCATTAACCCATTCCTAAACTATGCCCATGTATCTGAACCCTTCTTAAAGCAAAATAGGAAGTTTTGCTCTTGGCACCGCCCGTTTCAGGGTTGTTTCGCCTTGTGGACGAAAATCAGCTGGGATCAAGATTCTCGGTATATCTTGCTGCATGATACAGGCATTCCAAACATGCCCAGTCCCCTTCTTGAATTTCTTCACGTAATAACGAATTTCATGACAGACGGCAGACAGGCATACAGACAGAGCTACTATGTATACTATAAGAATAGTATGGTCAGCACCAAAAGCCGAGTGTTTAGTAGCGTAGACTCATGCCTACACTGAGAAAGGCTACGAGTTCGATCCGAATAGGTCACAAGAATTGCAAAAGTAGTGTTGGTACCACCTTCACGTCACAACAAAAATGTCTGAAGTCTCAAGAGGGATCAGTAATAACGTCTCCCGGAAGAGCGGAAATGTCGGAAATTTTTGGATGTGCGACTGCTACCAGGAGTGAACCACTTGGCCGAAGAAGTTGATTCAAATTGGAACATAGTTTTTGGCGGCTCAATGGAAGCCCCGAACAATGTCAATCTTATGATGTGAGGACCATACATGCCTTATGCCACTAAAAGACAAACTAGGAAGGAGCAAAAGCAGACCAAAAGGGGACCATCTAACCGTAGCGGGTGGGCTGAATGATCACGTTACTAATGAAGGGAAAGGCCTAGAAAGTGTTCAGTAGGAAAGGAGTCAGATAAAAGATTCTGGCGACAGGAAACATGAATGTTTGGAAAGTGACTTTCCCGGATGGAGTACAAATCGAGGCAAAGACAACGCAAAGTGCAGGATCGGGTCGCTCACCTGAACACACTGACCTCGGAAAAGAGAATACCAGATGAAAGGATAGTATCGCCCTTCTCATCAAGGAGTAGCTGAAGTAGGGTTGGAATCCTACACCCCTTTTCGGAAACATTGACAACAGTCATCCTTAGCCAGTCGAAAATTAAAAAAGGGTGGGTTGAAATCCAAAATTGTCGGTCTCCTACTGTATCTTTATCCTACCGTACACCTAAACTCTACATATGAATCCAGATTCAAACTTCTCGTGCCGTAACCTAACTGTACCCTAAGGTGCACATCTGAATATAGAGAACCTATTTGTGCTAGCGTAATCTTACAGTATCCCCAACTACATGAACGCACATCTAAATCCAAATTCGAATCTCAATCCAATCTTGCTACCGCACCTACCGTACCCCTCAGCCGCACATCGGAATATGGAAACCTTCTTGTGCTACCTTAACCCTACAGTATAGACATGCCATTACATCTTGAATGTACAGATCAGGAGGCTCCTTTGCAAACACCAACCGGAGAACTGAACTGTAAGAATCTGTGAATCAAATATGAATTTTGATATATCACCGCTTCCAGCTTCTGTTGCGGTTTGAAGATAACCATAAGAACTCTTTCAAATTCAAACGCTCTGATCCAAGACAACAGGAAGCACAGTTCGTGCTTACTGCTCAGACCCTACATTGGAACATTACTGCTTTTTTTATTCACAATTAGATTACTGAGACGATGATTACTCACCAACATTGAACGCTTTAGCTCCAAAGGGACCGCAGTTATGAATTTCCGGTCGACATACACACATACACATCCACGTCCACATCCACATCACACACACACATACACACACACACGGGTATGGGTATATTCACCCAGAACTGGATGAGGACGGCAAATCGCGCGGCGAAATGCGCGGCGATTCAAACGACTTTAGCGCCTATCATTGGGGCCCAGATTCGAAGTAGATTCCACTAGTACAATCACCTGACCATACTAATGTACTCTAATTCAAGTTTGCGCCCCAACGATAGGTGCCAAAGTCGTCCCAAGCGCCACTGAATCTCGCCGCTCCATTTGCCGCGTCCATCCAGTTCTGGGTGAATGTTCCGTCCCCCCACACACACCGACAAACTAGGAGAGGCACAATTAGCGCATTATATATAGTAAGATAAAAAAGAAACATTCGAGGTGTTAATTTCATCACGTGAGCAGGAAAATTATTACACCAAATGGAAAATGCCTTTAGTATTGGACTCACTATTTGTCATTTTGGGCATGGCAATAACAACAGAATGCTAGTGATGTTCTATGTTGATCAGTCTCGTTTCGAAATGACCGACCGAATAACCCAATCGTTGCCACGCATATCACGTTCCGTACTGAGTCAAAGTTTTTGGCTACAACTTTAGATTGTGGTGCAATCCACGCGCGGAGATGGGGACGTTTCGCGTTAAGGGGGAGGGAGAGGGAAGGCATGTGGCGGCGCAGTGTCGTGAGCGAGACANGAGATGGAGACGTTTCGCGTTAAGGGGGAGGGAAGGCATGTGGCGGCGCAGTGTCGTGAGCGAGACATCGCGCTGGCTATAACATCATACCTGCCATGAAAAATAGAGACCAATTAAAAGATAAGTAAAAGTAATCAACTATACACGTTCACAGAAAGATTACATTTATTAGGATCGAAACATTCTGAAGTTATTCTTATTCCGCACGTTTGACGTAAATTGTTGACCTATGAAGTAAATCCTTTATTTCGAAGGGGCTTGATTACCAGTCAGGTAAAGAGACTTGCACCGCTTCATGGTAAAGCCACTGGTGCAATGTGGACTAGTGTCAAACTCGTTTGGTCCATCTCAACTGATGAGCACGCAGCGACCACAACTAAATCGCGACGCAATCTGCCGTGCGGTGTGTCGCGTGCGGCCTGCGCGAAGAAACCCTGGTGAGGTCGCGCGTGAATTGCACGTCCTCAACTTTATATCTCGTATTCCCGGGTGTGGTGCGTTAGGAACGAAATGGTCGCGTCGCGGTGAGAGGGGCGTCGCACGCGAAGGAATGTAGCAGGATGCCGCCTGTTCCCAATGCAGTTTTTCAACCTGGGAACGTTACATCACATCGTAACATCTTTTCATCCGCTTGTTAGCACTTTGTTTTACCCAATCACCATTAATTACCATCACTGCTTGGATAGCTAATACATGCAATAGGGTTCCACTTCAGCTGTGCCATATTAGTGTTGGAGCGGCAAAAAAGGTTTGGTTATTAGAATTGACAGC